GCTTAGTGTTTCAGGTTTATCATTTCCTATTTTCGGTCGATCAATTGGACATTGATGTCATATGTCCTAGCCTTACTCCACAGAGAAACACTTGGGAAAAAAATGGAACCCACCGGGTGTTCCTGACACCAAACAAACGGCCACTTTAAAGAAGCTTGATGGACCCTTTTTTTTTCCTGTCACCTTTGCCTATCATACGACCCTCTCTTTTTACATATTCTTTCCTTGAATTCTTAATATCTGCTCTCTCTCTCTCTCTCTCTTATCGTACAATTTTTCACTCTTTAATTCGTTGATCGAATATCTCACCAACCACCAGCCATGCATCCCAACTACATTTTCTCGGCCCTTGCCCTAGCTCTTCCCGTATATTCGCTTAGCTCCACCGCTAGTATGGGCTGCTACTCCTCCATCGAATCATTCAAGAACCAAGGTCCCTACACCTATCAATCACCAGGACATTGCCAGACCCAATGCGCAGACAACAATTTCAAGGTCGCTGCTCTGAGCCGTGGCAACATGTGCTACTGCGGCAACAAAGTGCCTTCGGACTCTGCTAAGATCGCTGATGATAAATGCGATATCGCCTGCACTGGATGGGCTGCAGCAAGCTGTGAGTTGCCCGCAATGTTATCTAGCACGGTAGTAGAATCATGACTGACAAAATATTTCTTATTTAGGCGGCGGCATGGATACTTTCAATATCATTCAGGCGGCTGATGACTTACAAGCCTCTCCTTCCGAAAACGCATCCACTACTATTGCCCCCAGTGCTGCTACCGCAGCTGGCGGAATCATTGTCGCTGCCTCGACAGCTGGAGCACCAACTGGAATCGTGACCGCGGCCTCAACAGTGAACTCTAAGAGTGGAACCACCGTATCCAAGTCTGCTGCTCTCTCCGGCGCTGTCGCAACTGCCTCGCCCACGCCCACGAATAACGCTGCCGGAACTGTCCGCGCGGGATCATCGCTGCTCGGCGCTGTTGTTGCGGGTCTGGGCTTGCTCCTGTAAAGCTCTGAACCTTCATATCTTGTGATTGACGCTGTCTATATTCTGTCGTTTTGATCCCGTATACTCTGCATCGCATGTACAGTTATACCCCTCGCTAGTTCGCCAACGTGGCGCTCGTGATGTCAGGGATAATATTCTGTTACTGTTACTGTTTCTGTTTCTTCTGCTGGATCCGCTGGTCGGATTTGGGATGCATTTACTGCCTGTCTTGGGATGGGCATTCTCTACACTCGTTTTTTTATATTTATTTTGGGGTTTGCATGAACAAACTAGATTAGCATTCATCATTTACTACCGGATGGACTTCGATATCCTTTTCGGAGAATTTAAGATTTTGCCAATGGCATTTTTTAAGAAAGTAAATCAATAGTGGCGATTGATATACGCTAGCGAACTCAAAAGACAGTTCTTGACGATCTTCAAAAGTCCGAGACAGCCTAAAGCGGATATGATCTTGGCTCTTCCCTTGTATTGGCCTTCTCTTGCTCCTCCCAGCCAACAGTTCAAGCCCAATCTACGGGTTTCTCCCCTCTCCCTTTTTGTCTTCCCTACATTATTTCATCCCATAACACACATTGGGGGTAGATACTTCATCTAGGGAGCTAGGATGTTGCCCAGACCAGCTGCTCAAAAACCCTTAACAAGATAGCATCCTTCTGTTACTCGACTTCATTCGTAAACTTGACTGTAATATCTGTTGTTCTTGCGCTCAACGTTCGTCTATATATTGTCCAGTTGGGTTTCTCCTTCCCCTAGGACACTAGGTTCCTGCATTCCAGCACCTGTACATTCGCTGATCACTAGAGACTCATACCACAGCCTGCTATGCCAGAGCAAAAGCTTTTACCTTTCGATCTTGTCTGGGGGGCCATGGTACCACTCACACATGCACCTTGCGCAAGGTCGACGCCCTGTGTTCCGCTGATACAATTACCCGCGACGCCTGCGCTGATATTCACACAAGCAGGGTTACAGGGGTATATTTCGCGATGAATTTCTGGATCGCGCGCGTAGGGGCTGTAGACCGTCTTCCTTGACGGGTCTTCCTTGGTATTACCACCGCCTCTGCTCCCACTGCGGTTGTGTGACCGTCGCTGTGCTTTTTCCCAACACGATTCAAGCTGAGCGGTCTTGGTCTGAATTGCCTTTGGATCAGCTTGTGCCAGGATGCGAACGGAATTATGAGATGAAATATGCGGTCCTTTGCTTTTATCCACATCAGTGGTATTATTGGCGCTATTGTGAAGAAGAACAGCATTGCTTTTGGCATTGAGGGCGGACGGCGATATTAACCTGCTAAGTCCTTGATTGTTGGACTCGCGCACCGCTTCGCAATACCAGCAGGTGCATTCACTATAGAGCTTGCCGCCAGTGAGCTTTTGATATTGTTTTGAGGTCCATGCGAAGGCATCATTCAGTTTTATCTCATCGATTTTATCGTCGTGGTTAATGAATACACCCTCTATCTGCGCAGTAGAGAATATGTAATAGCGGATGGGAGAAAGCTGGTGCGTGTGCCATATCAGGTCGACATCGAGAGTGGGGACAACAGCATGGCCTTTATTCTTGGCCATTATTTGGAAAAACACCCCGTATTTGCTGATGAAGTGACTCATGGTCGATCTAACGTTTGGCGAACGTATCCAACCGATATTGTCCATCTTGTCCACAAACGTCCCCTGCCGTATGACCGCGCCGATCAAGTCGATGGCAAAGGGGGATGAGTTGTCCCAATATCTGGAGAGCATGTTGCGAAGAGATATCCTCTCTGGCATATTCGAGTTCCCGGAAGCCAGTACTGTCTTGTTCACGCGACGCATTAATGAACGACTCTTCAGGAATCCTTCAAAGTGGTCACGGATGGTTTCAATGGTAGTGCGGTCATTTTCAGCGAGGTCTGTAAGCTGCAAGATCTCGCTTCTGATGCCTTCCTTGATAAGTCGGTTTGGGAAGGACACATTATCGCCATTTTCATCGTCTGCAGGAGTGCCATTCTGTGTCAAAAGTGTGCCAGGCATAGGCACATCATCTATCAACAATTTCTGTATGTCACTGCGAAACTTGTGCACGCGAAGACTATCGTGTGTGATACTGAATTTGCATACTGAACATGAAATTCGCAGAGATTTGTCCGCATACCCAGTGCAGTGTGCATAAGCAACATCTGTGTCACATCCAAGTGACCCTTCCGTCCAGGGAGCAAGAATCTCCTGCTTACAACCGAAGCAAAGGAGGGATTTTGCGGGACTTTCGTGAATATTTTCCCAAGGGTGACCCGTTTTCGTCTCGAAATTTATTCTCGCTTCGCTACCCGGGTAGAAGACAAGTGTCTCATCGTCGATGGATGCATTTATTACATCCCATGGCATCCCAGTGGCCCAGACACTCATTTTGGATTGACGCAGACAATCCTCGAGAAAGGCACGCGGGTTAAGCATAAATGCATGCCAGACCATGATAACATCTAGCTGGCAAATTAGAAAAGGTTTACACAGCTTTGAGGTTTAGAATAGCTTACCAAGTGGTGGCATCATATTGGCAGACCATACTATTTTGGCTTCAGATGAACTATTTAGCGTTGAGATGTGACTGGTATTGAGACTCGGTAGACACGTCTGCCACCAAACAGCAAATCGGTCCACAGCTCTGGCCACATAAACCGCCCATCTCTTTTCCTGAATTCGGGCCGCAGCCTGGGATTGCTTGCGGGGGTCTGCAAAGTTCATGGCCTCACTATCATGGATTCCGAACAATTTGTCTGTTCTTTCAATGAAGTATCGAAGTTTCGCGATCGCGGATAAAAACTTCAAATGCGTGATACATTCATCAATAGCCAGCATCTCTTCAGATCGAGGAAATCCATCGCGAGACAGTCTGTGTGATACGTTTTGTTGTTGGTAGGTGGGTGGTCCATCGATGGGCTCGGTTATAGAAGAATATGGTGGAGGATTAGATACTACCTCAGCAGTTGCTTCAGCACTTTTGCTGCCGTGATCAAGATTTGGATTTCCCATTTTCGCAGAGTCAACAATACAAGAGAAGATGTGGGGAAAAAAGAAAAAAAAAAAAAAAAAACCGAGATGTGAAAGTCCAAAATACCCCAGGAAAGATCATCGCGGTCTGCCGCGTATAACATAGCCACAAGGGTCTCCAAGTGGGGGCTAGGGGGCCGGGAGGCTATGTATAGTGATATGATGCAATGCCAAGAGGCTAGTACTTTCTCGTGTCTTGGCCTTTATATCTGGGCGGAATAGCAGTGACACTAAACTTCGTATACAGAATCAAGTAGGTACAGCCTTATATTAGGAGAGGACGATTTAACGGTCCACGAACAGAATACCAAGCAAGCCCCCGAAATTCGGTAGAAATCCGCTTATGGCCCCCAAATGTTAGGATATTCACCTACCCCATAACGAGCTGGGGGTCGAAATTTTTAAGCTTGACCCGGGCTCTAAAGCCCTAACCGTTGCGAGCTTTAGAAATAGGCTCGAAACCCGACCGTTTTAAGGGTCGGGTTGGGTTGGGTAGGGCTTCGGGGGTTTCGAGCTTTGCGGGAGCCTAACAACTAACAAAACAACAAACGACCAGTTCTACTTTGTTGGATCTTTCTATATTATGATAAATTATATGAGTATCCGAATTTTGTCTGGCTTTCACCTTCAATCTCAACTGAAATAATCCTCGAACGTCTCGAGTGGTTCTCAAACTAGGTAGTGGCACCACCCCATGGGCACACTAGCTAGGTACGAATAACCTGCATACCAAGGGAGATACCTAGGTATTAGCAGATAACCACACACACCATTCAACAGATCCTTCTTTCCCGACCTGACGCGCCCAACGCAGGCGCTCCTCCCCAGTCGTCATCAGGAAGCCTGACTGAATTTCAGAGCCCCAGGGGAAGATTGTCCTGACCCAAAGACAAGGCATGTACGAACATATCCTTTGAAGCGTGCAGGTGAAAGCGTTTGACAAAATACTCTTCAGCATGCCCGGTAGAATTGATACAAGATGGCGTGAAACAGCACCCGGCTTGTACCAGCGAACGGCAACTCCGATGGAGCGGTGGATGACAATGATCACAGAGACTGGCCGAAAATTCGGCAAAGAGCACTTTGTACTCACGGTAGCGCTGAGGTTACAACTGAAAGATGGGGTTTCGAGCTTTCTACCGGAGCTGCGTCGGGCATGGGGGGTTATCCGCCAGAAGCACGCCTCCATCGCCAGCGTTCTAGATCGACACTCTGGCATCTGGACCTACGTTGCCACCTCTAAATCTGAGATTGCCAGATGGCTCAGTGAGACATTCATTGTGATCCCATTTGGCATGTCTGTAACTGCACTGCGAAACCAAACTCGTCCACCAAGGCGGCCGACGTTGTTCGTGCTGCCTTCTTCGGAAGAAATCGTCTTGCAGGCACCTCATACCTCAATTGATGGCAAAGGACTGATGTTTATAGTCGACAACTTGCTTAGCATTGCTTCCTCCGTGCATCAGGAGGAGCCTAGCTATAACATAATCAATTTATCGCCTTCATTTCGAGTGGCTGCTAGTCTTCCCCCGTCAACAACGACGATAGGCGACGAGCAGCAGTGGAGTTACAAAGATTCCTTTCCGCCCTCCCAGCAATGTCCTTGCCCATGAAGATACAAGACAAGAGATGGAGTGATCGGGCGCCAAAAAAAACGAACCGCATTGTCCGAGCTTTGCCCGAGAGCGAGACGCGGGCTTTACTGGCGGTGCTGAAAACAAAAGGCCTCACCATCACGCATGCTGTCCATGCGGCGATCGCATGCGCAACGAAGAAATTTAATACCAACCCTGTCTCCGAAGTATACGCCGGTGCGTTCAATGTTGATGGTCGCAATGCCTACGGAGGAAATACACTCGACCACCCAGCAACACTTTACAGTACCGGGTGGTTTCCCACGATCAAAGTATCCGACTTCTCGTCCGTCGCAAATACATTTCGAGAGGGATATACAAGTGTACAGAAGGATGTAAGACTTCCCAATGTCATTGATGAGCTGATAGAGCAAGCTATGCCGTTTATGACTGGGTCGGCGCCTTCCCCGGCAGATGCTTTGTTGAGTAGTCTTGGGGTGGTGGAAAGCGTGATAAAACACAAATACTCCAATGTGGAAGTAATGGACTTTGAGATTGCATGTGAAGTCCTCACTCCGGCAATCGACATATTCCTTTATACCTGGCGCGATCAGATCACGCTTGCAGCTTATTTTAATGAAACTTATCAGGAGGCCGAGAAGGTCTCGGAATTCTTGGGGACGGTGCTTGATATTTTGAATGTAGAGTTAGATCTTGAATAGAGATAATATCCGCGTTCACGAAATGAAATTTGAAATTTACTGTCGCTTTCATATCATTTTCACGTATTGTTTGGTTATATCATGGCCAGGTATGTTTTGTCGTTTACTCATCTGAAGCCAAGTGGTCAGTCAGTTGTACCTTTCTTTCATTTTTGAAATTTACCATCTCTATCAGAGTTCTATATTATGACTTGTACCAAGCGCCATATCTCCATTATATCGCAGTTGATTACAGAGCCGAGTTGGCGAAAATTTCCCAGAACAAACCCCGGCTTCAAGTTCACATTCATTGTAGATTTATCCCTACATTTAGAGGAGACGCCTTGATCTGACTTCATATACAGATGGAAATTGCTTTAAAAGCACATCCTCCTCAATCCGTCATTGTTGACCTATCATTCATCGCGAGACCAGGCCTTTGCCTTTACCATCGGACCATTGCGACAGGCAATGAGCCAATCCTTCACTTGGTATTCAAAAACGCGATGACGTCCATATTCAGCACTCTTAGACCCTTCGCCAAGACGAGATTCCTCACAATGAGTTAACTGAATATCACAACTAACCAAAAGTGCCGCAAAAGCAAGCATGATCTCGTTCATCGCCAGAGCCTTGCCAACACATCCCCTCATACCAAGAGAGAAAGGATTGAATGCAGCCTTTGCTTCTTCGAGCTCGAGTGCAGCCTCCTCGGAATATTGACCGTTAACATCAGGGTGACTGAACCACCGCTCCGGTCGGTACACGAAGGGATCACGGTAATACTTGGAGTTGTGGTGAATACTGTAGATACCGGTGCCCAGCTCGCAGCCCTCGGGTACATACTCGCCGCCAAAGGACAATCCTCCGGGAAGGACTTTTCTCCATAGAGCGCTGCCGACAGGAGGGGACATGCGCATTGCTTCGTTGATACAAGCGCGGAGGTATTCGCAGGAGTTTAGGGCTGGGCCCAGACGCACATCGTTGATGTCGTGGAATGCGGAACGAACTTCCGCCACTGCCTTTGCGTATGCGTCGGGGTATCTGGTGAGGTAAAAGATAGTCGCGGACATTGAAGTGGCAGTTGTGTCAGATCCTGAATTTAAAAAAGAAAAAGTCAGTGATCAGTGATTCTTCCTTGTTCATTCGGGAAGATCTTACCTGCCACGACAAAGTTCAGACTTTCGGCATTCAATTGATCGCGGCTCAGTCCCTCCTTGAGCTCATCGTCCTTGGCTGCAAACAAAATAGAGAACGCATCTCCGGTGATATCCGTTGCTTTCATACGATCCTTGATGATCTTTCCAACGAAGCCTAAGAACACATTTCGTGCCTTGATCGCTCGGCGGAATATATACCTGTCCATCTTGCGCCAAGCCAGCATAGGCGCCTGCGATAGAATGCCAATTCGGAAGTTGACACCTGAAATAACGGGAATGATGAATCTATACTTAGGATCTTCCTGCAGATTGTAGCAGAGTCCGTAGATAACGGATGTCATCACGTCGAAAGCAAAGTCACCAGCTAGATGGATTAAGCGGTTAGAAAGTTCGAACTCCATACCATTGAATTTTGGACATACCAAAGTCGCCGATGTTCAGAGACTCAGTCCATCCATCCTCAGCCTTCTTGCTAGATAAAATTCGATTCACAAGTTTGGTGACGTTGGTCAGAATCCGCGGCTCATACAACCGAAGCGAGGCATCGGAGAAACCGTGGCTGACAAGACGACGCTTTCGCTCGTGAATCTTTTTGTCAACTTCGGTGAAGGTGCTCGCAACTTTCAGGTTCATAACCTGGTAATCGGGAGATTTTTGGATTTGTTTGGCGGATTGGTAGATTTCTGGAGAGGTAATTAGAATCAGATTACTCGGCGTTTGAAAAAGAAGATAGTCCCAACCTTTAAGCCCTTCTGTCGTGTTGACTAAGAGGCGATTAGGAGTGTAACGAACATAGTCACCTTAATATATAGCAAGTTGAGTTAGCAATGTTCTGTGGTCTCTCGGATTCCGTGCCACATACCATACTTCTGGTGGCATCTCCACATGTCCAGATGAAGATCACCCTTTAGTGCATGATATGCGCTGTAAAGGATAGTGAATTTGGCCAAAAAGGGCCCGGGGTACTTAGCATACGGATGCCAGGTGACAAGGTATACTGCGCGAGCAATTGTCTAGGGCTTCATTAGAATTCATGTCAACCGATTTTGGAAATTGGTGATAGACTGACATATACAAGGACCAAGGTAAGCACAATACCCGCAGAAGCTCCAAAGTAAGATTTTAGATTATTCAGAAACACGGGAGAAGTGAGTGTAAGCCAAAATTGAGGATGCGATTTAGATGCATCGTCAATGGGGGCGATGAACTCCCGCGCGAGGCCTCCTAGGAAGCCCACAGGCACTTCCGGTGTATCATTGAGCATGATTGTCAAATTTCATGCAAAGCCTGAGTTCAAAAGATGAATTCTTCTTCAGCTGAATTAGAGCAACAAGTCCTTCATTTTGATTTATGTGTACTATGCCTGACGTTTGGGGTCTATGGTGGTGCCACTGGGTGTTGATACCACCCACCCACGGACTGTCGTTCCACGCAAGTGAGATTCTAAATATACTGGGCTGACTCTTTTTCATTGCATTTTGCAATTTACATTTTTGATTTGTTTTTGATTGTTTTCTACTGGCTAATTGGGCAAATTACTGCTGACCCTATCGCGATGGCCCTGTATTCCTGCATCTCTGACTATGGAGAGAGTATGTGGCAGATCATTCGAGCCCATCCCTGGGCCAGTATTGGTGTTGGACTTCTTTTAACCAGCGTGAAGAGTCTACCGCTGATGTGGCATGTGTGTAACCGTCTTCTCACAAAGTTGTCCAGCTACTAACCGTGTTCACCATTCTCAGGCTCGACTCATTGTCGCTGTGCTATACCATTCCGCCACGAAGAAGTCCGATGTCATTACTGCAGCTAAGCACGGAGGGCAGGGTATTTTTGGATACATCGTGACCAGCTCCCGCAGCCCATTATACGAGTGCGACATCAATGGCCACAAATCCGACAGTACCTACTTCAGTGATCTCGACATCAACCGCATTCACCTTCTCACGAGGCTTTTCAAAGCTGCGGGCGATCTTTCTCTGCGCCCGATTAAAAAAAGTTCCAAAAGCCAGAAAGATCGACCCAAGAAGATGCGAGTCTTACTTGGAGGAACCTGCTGTACATTCCGGAAGGAAGTTAAGCCGTACTCCGCCTACGAGATTCACTCGCGAGTCCTCGCCTGGGACGAGAAATGGTTATATGTTGTGAGCTACTTTGTCAAGCCGGGGTCGGCGAGGAAAATGCCTAAGATCCAGGCATCCAAGGCTGAACATCCGGAGAAGCGGGAGGAGGTTGCAGCCATGGCGAAAGGGATGGTCTTCACTTCAGCAATTACCAAATTTGTGTTCAAAGAAGGTCGCAAGACTATTCGTCCAGAGGATGCTCTGGAAGAAATGGGACTTTTGCCCGAGAAAGCCACTTCAGAGGCTGTTACTTTGGCGAACGGGGACATGGCCTGGAGCTGGGAACAAGTTGAAAAGGAACGGGAGGCAGGCATGAGGACTGCGCAACATCTGATTGCGCTGGATGATCTGCATGATCAGTTTGAGGATGTTTCGAGTCACCCATCTCTAGGGAAGTTCGGCCTTGTTGGAAAGTTATTCTGAAATTAATTTGTCCACATATCAACTGGTGTATTTAGCCATGAGCCAAGCAAGTCGCCAGGGGGAAAAAATATAAACATCGGTATCCTTGCTGTACAGAATAGATATAATTTTCCTGTTTTTCTCTATTCGTGTTTGAATCTAGACCATAAACGTTGTGCTTGTAACTACATCAAATGACTATGTGTGTAGACTCGAGCCAGTAAACATAGTGCATCGCCAAGATAGATAAATATACAACGTAAGGTGAATTTAATTATAGGAACGTTGTAGAAAAGGAAAATTCACAAAAAGAAAACAGAGTCAAATTGCTACTATATCGCAGAATAAAACAAAATAAACATCTTCGAGATCACACAAAAAGACTACTTCAGATACTGCCCATGCTGACTCTTGATAGGTCCTCTTCCACGGCCACCTTCATCCAAGGCCTTGAAACCATGCTCCAAGACACCGCCCTTCTGGTATGCCTCGTAGACATTGATGACCTCCTTAGAGACTGGATCGTATCCCAAACCGGAGGCTTGCGTCACCATGCGCAGAACCTGACCATCCTCCTCAAGCAAGCTTGACTGCATCTGAATATCTTTGACAAGAATATCTCCCGCTCCCTCAGTCACATGACGGAGGTTGTTCTCAAAGTGCGCGAAGAACGTCTTTACAAGGGATCTGGAGACCACGCGATCATCAAACAGGGCAAATGCATCGACTCCAAAGTCGGAAACAGCACAATCAAGGAAGAACGGATTGGGACTGTTTGCCACGGGTAGACGCAGGGGTCGAACGAGGCCGATTCCACTGCCGATATCTGCTTTGTGGTGGTTGTAGGGGTTGACAGTCAATCCGAACGCGAGTTCACATGCCTGCTTAGCAGAAGCGGAAAGAGTTTCAATGTGGGGGATGCTGCACTGTTCGTGTGCAATGATGGTTCGACATTGAGACTCAATGTTGAGGAGCAGGTTTTGGATCGACTTGTGAGGATCGACGCGAATGCGCAGCGGGACGGTCGTGAGAATGGGTCCGATGATTTGTTCAATCTCCGCCACAGGAGCGTTACGTCCGCTCAGGGTCAAAAGGAGTGTGACATCCTCGACATTCAGCATTTGACAAAGGGCAAGAGCCCAAGAGGCGTAAATGGCGGTTGGCATGGAGATGTCGGAACGGAGTCGGTGAGGTTCAAGATGTACCTCAAGGTCACAGATGGAATTGGCCTCGCACTGGGATGGGTCGGAAGGAGGTGTCGCGAGAGGGGGTGGAGGAGTATAGTCGGCTAGCTGGGAGCGCCAGAATTCATCCTGCGCATCCTGGTCCTTGTTCTGCAGGTAGCGAACAAAGCGGTTCATGGGCACTTCTGGCTCATGATTGGCATCGTCATACAAGTACTCTCGTTCCAGGGTAGCGAACAGGAGTGCGTATGCCCAAGCGTCGTATGTAGAGTGGCAAGCAGTGGTGATGAAATAGCGTTTGCCGGTATTTTCATCGATAACATACCCAGCGCGACTGAGAGGTGTTCCGGGTCCGGTCGCATCCTGGAGTTCCTGGTCGTAGTAAGCCGGAATTGTAGGAGCAGAACGCCAGGCAGTTGGTGAAGGCTTCTCAACGACCTGCATCCAACTTCCGTCGGCAAGCTGGACAACACGAGTACGGAGCACCGCATGAGCATGGGTGGTGCGTTCCCAGGCTGCCTTGAGACGATCAAGATCAACTGACGCGGGCGCTTCAAAGGCTGTCATCAGACAGGTAACACCTGGGCGGGTCAAAGAGATCGTGAGGAAGCCAATCTGCGCGGGCGTGGCCGGATAGATATCCTCGATAGACTCGATGGGGAGGTTGCAAAGCGTGGAAACTTCCTTCTGAAGTTGGTCGATATCCTTCTCCTTTGGCACCAAAGACAGAGGCTGGATGACAGCTGTGTCATCGGCAGTGATAGGATCCATCAATACGGCCATGTCGTCGAGAATTTGGTTTTGCAGGATCTTGTCTGCTGTGAGAGCATATCCATGGGATCTTGCCAGAGAAACAAGCTTGACAGCAGCCATAGAATCGCCCCCAACAGCCGAGAAGCTGTCTTGGCCAGAAATGTCGCTCTCGCTGAGTTCCAAGACTTGCGCCCAGAGCCCACGTAGTGTAAGGCCCTTTTCAGTCGCAGGCTCATGCATCTCACCCAGTCCTGGGGCCACAGCCAGCTTTGTCAGGTCGGGAACCGTCAAACTGGCACAGAGGGCATGGAGTGCTTTGTGGTCGATCTTGAGATTGCTTGAGGTCGGAATGCGATTGACAGGGACGAAGAAACGAGGAATCATAAACTCAGGCAGTACCTTGGCAAGGTCACGCTGGACTCCATCAACAATTGCATGCAGACTAGCTTGAGCCTCTTCGCCAGTGAGAATGGAAAGAGAATCATCGATTGGGTTCGGAACAGTCAAGGGCACAAATGCAATCAAGAAAGGTCGGCCTCTATTTTCCAGTTTGACGGCCTCGGTTGCTGGCGAAGCAGAGCCACCAATGATACGGTGAAGTTGGAAATCGATCTCTCCAAGGTCGACACGTTGTCCATTCAACTTGACCTGCGCATCTCGACGACCAAGGACACGAATAGTTCCATCGTGTTCGTACATTCCGAAATCACCAGTAGCGTAAATACGGCGAGGAGAGGAGTTGGCCTGCAACGCCCAATCAGGGGCTTGCAGGAAGGCTTTGTCGGTTGCGACTTGGTCGTTGAAATATCCTCTTGCAACAACAGGTCCATCCACGAGGATTTCACCGACAGCACCTATGGGCATCAGGCGGTTGTAGTTCTCACTATCTGCAATCCAGATGGAACAATTCAGTCCAGATCCAATGTTGGCTGGGGAGCCTCCATGGCGGAGGCCTGATTTTCCAGTACACCAGACAGTGCACTCTGTGGGACCATAGACATTGATCAATCGCACACTGTCTGCCCAGGTATTGATGAGCTCTTGAGTTAGAGCCTCGCCACCGAGGGAAAGGGTTTCGAGTTTAACGGCTCTGGGTGACAGGAGACTTGCGACCGTTGGTGTCAGTGAAGCTTGATTGATGTTGAGACGAGTCATGGCCCCAGCGAGGTCGTTGAGGCGATCTTCTTCAGAGGGCATGCAAACGCAACCACCGCTGACAAGATTAGCAAAGATCTCCCCAACACAGAAGTCCCAAGTGAATGCAGCAAATTGCAAGTAGCGTGAAGTTGATGTCTTGCCCTGCAATGCGGCTTGTGCAGGTAGACCAGAGCAGGCATTGCGATGTTCGACCACTACACCTTTTGGTTCGCCGGTACTGCCAGATGTGAACATGATATACGCTGCATTCGTAGAGACAACAGTAGGAGCGCTGTAAGTAGGCAAAAGGGGTGGCAGTGCTTCAAGGGATTCTTTGGTAACAGTCACCATCTTGACTCCTGTCTCAGCAAACAGGTGTGTAAGGCTCGGGATAGTAACCATCACCGAGGCTGACAACCGACTCAGGAATGAGGCAAGGCGAGTCTGCGGATGGGCGGGATTGAGGGGTGTCCAGATACCACCAGCCTTGAAAATGGCAACGATGGCGACAATACTGAAGATAGATTTATAGAACGCAAAGCCAACGTAGCTTTCTGGTTGAACACCAAGCCCGACAAGGTGCTGGGCTAGACGGTCTGAGAGATCGTCCAATTCGGAGTATGTCAGTGTACCGTCCCAAGAGGAGATGGCCGATGCAGATGGCCGCTCAAGGGCCTGATCATGAATCATGGCATGGATAGTACGCTCATTTGGTTCAACCTTGTCGTTGATGTGCCATTGTGCGATCTGGTTCATATCCGACGGGCTGATGAGATCGATATCCTTGAGCTGAGTGTTTGGTGCTGTGGTGGGTAGGTTGGCAAACAGATCTAGCAAGTGTTCGAACTGGCCGAGCAGCTGGTGAATTTGCGCAGATGAAATCACATGCGAATCGTAAGAGACATTGACGGAGATACCTGTGGACTCTTGGGAACAGGTCATGGTGATTGGGAATGTGTACAATCCAGCAACGGTGACGGGCAATGGTTCAATGCCCATACCAAGATCTAGATTTAGTGATGCTGATCCTGTAGCTTGGAACACCAATAGGGTGCGCAAGGAACAGGCGGCGCGAGCTTCTGGACTGACTTTTCGAATATTTTGGAATCCCGCTTGCTGGTAGGGGATGAGATCGGTGGTGCTCTTCTTGATGGCAGCGAGATATTCAGCCACTGTCTGCTCACGCTCATAGGACACGCGGAAGGGGAAGTTGGCGATGGTTGAACCGACCATATTCTCGATACTGGGGATGGGGGTTGTACGTCCGCTGACGACGACGCCGAAAGTGACGTTCTGAGACCCTTCATGCAAAGATAGTAACATACCCCAGGCAGCTTGCAGCACGGTCGCGACCGTATTGTCTGCTTGAGCAGGCATCGAGAATCGGATGTTTGATGTGAGCTCTGAATCAGCCACAGAGCGGTAGCAAACCGAGGGCAGAGCAGGGAAGGATGGGGGTGCCGCTGGTTCGAGGAAATTTTTCCAGAATTCGAGGGTCTCTGCCTCACCTTGATCATCCAGATAGCGAATTAGATGATTCGGTCCCAAAATAGGTGATTGGTTCATGTCGTAGTAAGCCTCTTGGACATTGCGCCAGAGATTGGTGGTACTCCAGCCATCGTAGGCGGCATGGTGCATCGTCAATATGAAATAGCGAGTTGCAGCACCGTCACCACCCTCTCCCAAGATAGCCATACGGTACAGCGGCTTTCCAAGATCCATGACCCGACGAAGTTGGTCACGCTTGTACTGCTCAAGGTCGTTGGAGACAACAAATTCGATCTCGATGGGTCGTCGCAGGATAACCTGCACAAAGCCAGACGCGGTTGTGTGGATCATACGCATTCGGGTGACGCTAGCACGCTCCATCACAGCGTGCCAGGCCTGACTGAATTTCTTAGCATCAAGGAATGGAGCCAGTCGATACGCAAAGTGCGCACTGTAGGTTCCAGGGTCTTGGATTGAAGCAGCCATCATTCCTTCTTGAAGGGGAGTGGTGGGATACATGTCCTCGATGTCATGCATGGCGACTCCACATTGACGTGCCGCCTCCTGCAGTAGGCTACTCACAGGCTCACGGCGAATGAGGGAAAAGGATGGTGGCTCGTGAATGAGACCACCTGTGGAGGCAGTCATGGCCAGTGCCATCTCAGATAGGACAGGGTGCTCGAAAATTGTCGCCACGCTGAGGTAAATATTCTGCTCTCGAGCCATGGAAACTAGTTTCACGGCGACAAGGGAATCACCACCACTGCGGAAGAAAGAGCTATTCCGGCCAATGGCTTCATGATCAAGAGAAAGTAGCTTTGCCCACATGACCTGCAGAGTCATTTCGGCTTCACTTTCGACAGGTTGCAGAGGCTCGACTGCCAATTGATGCTGTAGCGAAACGGGCGTGGCATCAAGGGAGAAAGTACGGAGCGCCCGACGGTCAACCTTACCGGAAACCAGTAATGGCATCTGCTCGAGGAAGTAGCAAATAGTAGGAATCATGTAGGCAGGCAATGTCTGTCGCAAATCCGCATCAAGAGTGCGAATGAGGGTTTGAGGATCCCCATGACTATCGCTGGCAGAGAGGAAGAGTGCAATGGTGCGGTTTTCAACGCGCCCCTCTGGCGCAACAATTTCGATGGCAAAATCAGGCAAGGGGCCAAGTGCAGTTCGGACGCGATATTCGATCTCGCCCAGCTCAATACGGAGGCCGTTCAGTTTGATTTGAGTGTCCTTGCGGCCAATGAAGTCGATCCAACCATTGGGCTGGTAGCGAACAAGATCACCTGTCTTGTAGATGCGGCGAGGGTCAGATCCATGCTGCTTGTTGGGGAACTGTTCCAGGAATCTGGGATTCTCAATGAAAGCCGCGGATGTCTTGACTGGATCATTGAGATACCCGTCGGCGACAATCGGTCCTTCTATAGCCAGTTCCCCTGTGAGGCCAACTGGGACAAGACGGTCATGATCATTGGGATCAACAAGCCAGCTGGTACTGGCCAGCGCAGTACCAATCGTTCGCTCTGAGAAGTTTGGGCTGTCAATGTCGCAAATGACGTTGCAAACTGATGCCTCAGTTACACCATAACCGTTGACAAGACGCACCTTGCCGGCCCATCGTTCAATCAAGTCTTTTCGGATGGGTTCACCACCGAGAATGAGCTGGTCCAGGTGGGGAAGCTGTTCCGGGGAGAGAATCCGAGCGATAGAAGGAGTGAGGATGGCAAGGTTGACCTTCATATCGTTCATAATGGGCACAATCTCGCTGAGTCGCTGGTCTTCGGAGGGGATGCAGACGCATCCTCCATGAACGAGAGTAGAGAATATCTCAACAACAGAAATATCGAATGTGAAAGCTGTGAATTGCAAGATCCGCGGCTTGCGGCTAAAGCCGAATACACCGTGGTTTGACACGCTCGTGGCGATGGCTCGGTGAGACGTGATGACACCCTTGGGCTTTCCTGAGCTGCCAGACGTAAAGAAGCAATACGCTGGATGAGATGGGTTGATGGTCACATTTGGGTTAGAGTAAATTTTATTGTCATCGAAGAGATCGTGCGAAACCACAACGGTAGGGATCATGTAGTCCGAGAACAGGGAGACATTTGCCGATGAAGACAAAATCACTGGCGCATTGATGTCTTCTAAGATTTCGCGCAGGCGCTCAGGTGGATGGTGTGGATCCAAAGGACAATAGGCTGCTCCGGCTTTCATGATGGCGATCATTGAAACGATAGCCCATAGAGATTTCTCGAAACAAACAGGGATGAAGGACCCAGGGGAGATGTTGTGTGAGGCAAGTACCTTGGCTGCAAGTTGAGATGTCAGACGATCAAGCCTGTGATACGAGAGAACTCCGTCCCAAGAGGCAATCGCGTCAGTATCTGGCTGCTGGTGAGCGATGTCTTCGACGAGCTGGTGCAGACAACGCTCCACAGGCTGCGTGATGGCCTGATTGAACGTATGAATATCAGCATAGTCAGCGGGAACCATTAAATCAAGCGATTGCACTTGTCTGTCGCCTAAGTCTGTGTCAAGTTGTTCCACAAGGTATGAGAAATGCTCTAGAATCCGATGGGCTTGTGAGTCAGGGACTAAAGCGATATCGTAGTTGAGGTCCAGGGAGTAGCCGGTAGGATTGAAAGTGCACTGCAACACCAAGGGGTACGTGTGGAAGGGCTTGAAGAAGTCCTTGTTCGCAGTTGGGCATCCCAGGAAAGTCGCATGCCCGCGATTAACATCATCCTCGGGATTCTGGATCACGAGAAGAGTTTGGAAGTCGCAAGCTGCTTTTGCGTCTGAAGAGAGACGTCTGATGTTTTGCAAACCAATCTGCTCATAGCGAATCATTGCCAAGGCCTGTTTTTGAACATTCTCAAGCAATGTTTGAACTCTCATTTCAGGCTGGAAGGCAACGCGCATGGGAGCCGTCGCCAATGTTGGACCAGCGATGTCATGAATGCCATGAACAGGAGCAGCACGTCCACTGGTGGTGGTGCCGTATACAACATCATCAAGGTCTGAATAGCGCCCAAGCACCAGTGCTAGGGCTGTTCGAACAAGCGTCGCTCTGGAAATTTCAGACCCTGCGCGCTTGTTGAAGGCTACATCGTGATGAATGTAGGCATCCTCATAGCGATGTTGGCGGTTGACAACGGACACTGGGAAAACTGGAGGCGGGACGCCATCCAATTGCGCTCTCCAGAAATCTTCTGACGCTTTGGGGTCGACAGAAAGGACATGGTGGATGAAAGTGTTGAAGTGAATGGGTGGCTTGGTGTTTAAGCCGTGATATATTTCTTCGACACGTCTGTAGATCGGCTGCACGGACCAGCCATCGTAAATCGCGTGGTGGGCGGTGAAGACCAGAATGCGATCTTCAACAATCGCGAATCGGGACAAGGGTTGACCTGTCCTCATTCCTGCGCGACGATCGTTCTCCAGATAGGCGGCCTTATTATTTCCACCGCGCCACCGGAGCTGACCTTGGACGACAACTTGCATAGTACCATGTTGCGCGCTGGGGAATAGACGCGTACGCAAAATCGGTACCTGCTGGTAAACTGTCTCCCAGGCGGCACGAAGGCGACCCATGTCAATCCGATCGGGGATCTCGAATGCGAATTGGGCCATGTAAGAGCCAGTTTCCTTCTGTGCAAGGGCCAGCAAACCCTCCTGCAGTGCTGTAGTCGGGTAGATGTCCTCGACGGCACTGTCAGGAATCTGGCAAGCAATGCTGGCTTCTCGACGAAGTACTGCGATGTCGCTGACGAGTGCAAACTCCTGCAACTCGGTGTTGGCGACCTGGAGCTGGGTGGTGGCCAACGCCATAGCAGAAAGGACAGGATTGGAGAAGATGGTCTCGACAGTCAGGTCAAGATGAGCCGTGCGAACAAGTGCGACAAGTCGCATGGCCATGATTGAGTCGCCCGAAACGCGGAAGAAATTATCATCACGGCCGAATGATTCGGGTGCTAAGTTGAGGACCTGAGCCCAGAATCCATGCAACAGACGCTCCATATCTGTCGTCGGAGGTTGGGCAGCCTTCTTGTGTGCCTCGAGAGAGAATTGCGAGATATCCTCACGGGAAAGTCCTCGAGCGATCTTCTGCAGCTTGCTGCGGTCAGTCTTAGCGGATGCTGTGAAGGGCATCAATCGCAGGGGAACATATGCAGATGGGATCATGTGCATAGGCAATAGGTCTGGAAGCTTTGCATTGGCTCCCTTCATGGCCTCGCGGTACCGAGTAAGCTCGACTTCCAAAGACGCGATTTCCGGAAGCACCTCGCCGGCTTTCGAATAATCCACGTCGGTAGCAACGCTCAAAAATGCCATAAGCATCGGTGGAGCGGTTCCATTTGCTGGACGAACCATTTCCACAGCCACCTCTGCAATGTCCGGCATTGTTTCGCGCAGTCGGTGCTCAATCTCACCGAGCTCCACACGCTGGCCGCGCAGTTTGACCTGTGTATCACGTCGACCAACATAGTGAACTTGACCATTGGGCAGGTACCGTACAAGGTCACCCATCTTGTAGAACTTACCAGCTGGGCGATTGGCCACGCGAGGGAACCATGCTGGAGCATTGATGAAGGCAGCTGCTGTCTTAACTGGTTCATTAAGATACCCATCGGCAACATTGGGACCCTCGACTACCAGCTCACCAATGGTACCAATGGGAGCAAGCTTGTTATGATTGACCGGGTCGGTGATCCAGGTGTTGCATCCCAGAGCGAAGCCAATATTGTGACCAGAGGCTGACGGTGAGATGCCAGGGCTGCAATGAGTCCAAATAGAGCATTCAGCGGGGCCGAAACTGTTGATGAGATACACAGCTGGAGCCCATGTTTTGACATTCTCAACGGTAGCGGTTTCTCCCCCAAACAGGAGGGTCTTGAGAGAAGGTACATCGGCCGGGTGTAGCAACGAGGCCACACTGGGGGTCAAGAACGCCCAGTTGACATGCATGCGTTCCATTGCCTCAGCAAGGCCGTTCATGCGCTCGGCATCGGATGGGATGCAAACACATGCGCCGACGGAGAGGGATGTAAAAATCTCGCCAATGCTGACGTCGGAGGTGTATGCAGTGAATTGTAGATTGCAAGAACCGGGACCGCCATAGCGCAGAGTCTCACCATGTCCGACAATACTGCTGGTGAACGCCGAGTGGCTGATAAGAATTCCCTTAGGCTTACCTGTACTGCCGGAGGTAAAGAGAATGAATGCTGCATCGGTTGATTTCACGGTGTCGGAGACCATGGTTGACGATGTAGGATGCTTGATCTCCGCCTCGGAAATGGATTCTGCATCGACTGTGAATGTTGAGCCACTCAATGACAGTGCCTTTTCAGACCAGCGACGACTCGATAAAACTAGGGTTGCGTCGACATCCTTCACGAGTCCCTGCAATCGCTCCAGGGGATGAGCAGGATCAAGGGACACACAGGTGGCCCCGGCCTTTAGCAGTGCTAGCATCGTCACGACCGTGTAGATGGACTTTTCGAACAACAATGGTACTTTCATGCCTGGTAGTATGCCACGCTCTATCAATTCAGGGACGATTGCTGAAGACTGAATATCGAGTTGAGCGTATGTGAGCTCGCCTTCCCATGAACGGACGGCTGGCGCGTCGGGCTGAAGAGACGCTCTCCTTTGGAAAGTGGCATGCACAAGATCATCTTGAGGTGCAGGAGGGGTTGTATTCCACAGTGCAAGTTGCGCTATGTCGCCACTGCTGACGAAGTCGAGATCGGACAGTTTCGTATCAGCCAGGGCAGGATCATGAAGTAATTCGAATACCTGCTGCAGCTGCGCCGATAGACGCTCGATCTCCTCGGCGGCAATCAAGTTCGCGTCATATTCAATCGTGACTCGACATTTGTCCGCGGCAATGACAACGTCCAGACTCATGGAAAATGTATGGAATGGACCTGCGAAGGAGTTACTGACGACTTGCATGTCCAGCTTTCCACCAGTGGCAGCGGGTCCAGATTCAGCCTCTGTTTGAATCATCAAAAGAGTCTGGAAGTCGCAGGCGGACTTGATCTGTTCGGAGAGCTTGCTGATATTGTAAATGCCGTACTGCTCAAATGCCATCATCTCTTGAGCCTGTTCATGGATCTGGCGCAGGAAGCCGTCAACCGTTTGCGACTGTTTGTTAATTTGCACACGGACTGGCACGACAGCGGTAGTAGGGCCAAAGACTGCCTGGATACCTTCCACAGGTGCAGAGCGACCGTTCAAACTTGCTCCGAACACGACGTCATCGGTATCATCAGCATATCGGGCAAGCAGTAAAGCCCATGCAGAGCGAATGAACGTAGATGTCGTGTAGTCGCACTGCCGCGCTGCCAGGGGAATGTTAGTGGTGAAGTGGGAGTTTGCGGCCGGTCGATACGAGATATCTGGCAGACGCGGGAAGGCCATGGTTGGAGCATCCTGCATCTGACTCTTCCAATACTGTTCCAGGGGACCATTGTCGGTCTCCAGGAAGGACTTGACGAAAGTATTATAACCAACCACTGGGTCAAGAGAAAAGCTCGAGAAAGCCTTCTCTAGATCTTCAACCATGCGAAGCAGGCACCATTCATCATACGCCGCGCGATGCATGGAGAGCACAAAGTGGGGGGTTTCCACGGCCAGTGGGGTCTTCAATCAAGGCATACCGCACTAGGGGCTCGCCAACGGCAATGGGCGCGCGCTTGTCACGCCAAAGGTAGTCTTGCAAATCAGCCTCAGCACCCCAGTGCTCGTCATAGCGCACCACAGCCTGCATGAGTCCGCCGGATGGGGCGTGGAAGACGGATGTGCGAAGCATTGGTGTGCGATCATAGATGGTCATCCACGCCTTTCGCCAGAGATCGAGATCCATCGTTCTGGGGAGCTTAATTACCATCTGCCCGAAGTATGTACCGGGCTCCTTGGCCGACAGGGCCATGAGAGCATTCTGTAATGGGGTACTCGGGTAAATATCCTGAATATCGTGGACAGGCACTCCCAATATCTCACTTGCCCGGTCAAGCGTGGTTTCGATAGACTCGCCAGTTAACTGAAGCAGCTGGAATGGCTTGAGAACCTCTTGCTCCTGATGGTCCACATCCTGGGCCACGCGCGCCAAGTCTGCGAGGATCGGGTTTCTAAAAACATCAAGCACCTGGAATCGCCAGTTGGTCGCTGTCGCGCGAGTGACAAGCTTCATTGCGCTGATGGAGTCTCCGCCAAGGCGGAAGAAGTTGTCCTGAACAAAAATTTCATCTGGTCGCAAGCCCAAGACCTGTGCCCAGAGTGCATGCATGCGTTTCTCCCCAGGTGTAGAGGGCGGGGCATGGCTGGTGCCTGCACGGGAGAAGGAAATCAGCTCGTTCCGAGATAGAGCGGAGGCAAGCTGGCGAAGACGACTGCGATCTATTTTGTTTGTGGCAGTATGAGGCAGGCGTGTCAGAGGCAAGAATATGCTAGGAACCATGTACGGCGGCAATGACATCGAAAGCTTTCCATCTAGCCCTTCAGTCAAGGATTTCAATTCCCGTCGGGCTTCACTCGACGTGGCAATCATGGGATGGTCAGCGTCGACGGAATCCAGCACAATGAACCCGATGATGGCTGCATCGTTCTGGTTCTCGTTTGTCTTGATGGCATCGGCTGCGACTTGAACACCGGCAGGCAAATTGCGCTGCAAGTGGCTTTCCACCTCAGCGAGCTCGACTCTCTGTCCACGAATCTTGACCTGCAAATCGTCTCGACCCATGATCTGCAAGGTGCCATCGGTATTGTATCGTGCCATGTCACCTGTACGGTAGAATCGGCGCTCACTGCCCTCGAACAGAGGGGCCAGGGGCCCATCAAGTGTCCAACGAGGATCCTTTACGAATGCCAAACGAGTTTTGACCTCATCGTCCAGGTAGCCCTTTGCTAGTGTAGGTCCCTCGACGAGAATCTCGCCAACCGTTCCGATAGGGACCAGTTGATTGAAGTCGGCTTTCTTCGCAATCCACAATCTTGCGCCAACAGAGCGACCGATGTTAGAAACATCATCGGAGGATGTAATACCGCGGAAAGCAGAGCACATGATTGTCGTCTCGGCTGGTCCGTAGACGTTCATCAAGCTGCGTTCGCCCCACTTCCGTGTGCATTCCTCTGTCATGCGCTCGCCGCCCATCGCTAAGAAGTCGAGTTGAGGCAATTCGGCCGGCTCGAGCGATGCACCAACAGTTGGGGTCAGAAAAGCGCAATTCACATTCAAGGCTTGCAGAGACTTCGAAAGATTGTTGTTGCGCTCTTCATCGGTAATGCAACATAAACATCCACCACGGAGGAGCATGGCAAAAACCTCTCCAAAGAATGCGTCGAATGCATAGGGCGCAAACTGGACAACACGAGAGGCCGTGCCGATCTCCATAACCGACGCAATAGCCTCGATGCTACTACACGCAGCCTCGTGGGAGATTTCAATACCCTTGGGTTCACCTGTCGTACCGGAAGTGAAGACCACGAAAGCGAGGCTTTCTGGAGAACCATGGGTCGAATCGATATTAGGTGTTGAGGCGTGATCATTTTCCAAAATCGCCATCTCTTCTGCGGATACAGTCACCAAGGAATAGCCAATGGGGCGTAAAGCCTCCATCTGCAGTGGCGATGCAATAAGTGTTCGTGCTTGGGTTTTCTGCATGACACGTTGCAGACGTTCTTTGGGAACTGTTGGATCTAGCATTACACAAGCTCCGCCAGCTTTCATGACTGCCAGAAGTACAACCACAGTCCACATCGACTTTTCGAAAGAAATGAGCACGGGCTCGCCTTCACGAAGTCCCTCCTGCTGAATGAGGAGCTGCGCGAGTCGAGTGGACTTGACATCCAGCTCGCGGTAGGTGAGCCTGCCATCCCAGGAGTCGACAGCAATGTTGCTGGGATACATGCAAGCAATCTGCTCAAAGCGACGGTGCAAGCATTCTGACTGCTTGACAGGAGAAATCGCATTCCACTGTGCGAGGGTCGCTAGGTCCGCTGCGCCGACCAAATCGATATCTTTCACGCGGGTGCTGGGGCTTATGGAAAAGACGCGCTCCACGACGTGTTGGAGTTGATTCAAGATTAGTTGAACGCGTTCGTAACTTAGACAAGTTTCATCCCAGTTCACCTCAAGAGTAACATCCTTCTGGTTGGCAATGGTGCATCGCAGACCAAACGCAAAGGAATGGAAGGCCACCCCCGTTCTTCTGCGAGTTTCTTGAAGCAGACGAGAATGCGCCTCCTCGGAGTCATACTCAACGAGCAGCAGAGATTGGACATCACAAGCAATACGAGCGTCCTCACTCAGGCTGCGGATGTTCTGCATACCGTAGTGCTCCAGCTCCAGCAAGGCAGCAGATTGAACTTGTAGGTCTTGGAGGAACGTACGTAAGGTCTGATCACGCTGCAACTTGACTCGCACGGGGAAAGTGGCGATTGTTGGCGCCTTCATCTCCTCAATACCAGAAACCGGGGCACCACGTCCATTGCTCGTGTTTGCGAAGACGACATCATCTGAGCCGACGAAGCTGGCCAACAGCAAGGCCCATGCTGCACGGACCTTGATCGCAGCTGGAATGCCAGATTCGGTGGTATCGTGAACTGTCGGCAGTTCAAATTGAAGGTCCACGAAGGCATTTGGCTTGGGAATATATCCCCTGGGGATCTCAGGGAAAGGTGTCAGTGGAGCGGCATCCAGTTGTTGCTGCCAGCCGTCGCGCATGGCATTCGCATCAATCTGTTGAAGATGAGCGATCAGTCCCGCGAAGTTGGGACTCGATTCGACGGCCTCGTTATGGTAGGCGCGGTCGAAATCCCGCAGGAGTAGGTCGAGAGACCAGGCATCATGAACAGCATGGTGTATGGTAAGTGCAAGCACGGGGCCAGTTGTAGGATCGTGGACCAATGTGAAACGACTTAGTGGCGCCCCCAATGACATGGGGATCTCGAGATCCCGCTGAAGATAGGATTCCACGTCCTCTGTAACGGTTGTCCACTGCAAGTCTTCCTTGACGATAGCTTGCCATAGATCTGCAGACTCATCCTCAAAGATGCGGGTGCTCAGACAGGGCGCGCTGCGCTGAGCCACCGTATTCCAAGCCCGCATCATTTGATCCACATCGATATTTATCAACTTGAAGATCTTCTGCACGAGGTACAAGCCCGGTGTCTTGACCGAAAGGGCGATCAAACCCTGCTGCAATGGCGACGCAGGGAAAATATCCTGAATGGTGTCAGGCTGGATATCGCATTGCCTACTGGCGCATTCACGCAATTCATCAAGGTGATTGTCCACTAAAGCAAAAGCTTCAAGATCAAGGCCTCGCGAGCCATCCCGAATTTCAACGACAAGTGCCATATCAGACAGGATGGGATTCGCGAAAATGGCCTGGACCGTGAGGCTCAAACTTTCGGCACGACATAGGGACACCATCCGAATAGCGGCAATGGAGTCACCACCCAGGCCAAAGAAGTTTGCAGACGCATCGTTCAACTGGGCGATTCCAAGTACTCTTCGCCAAATATCGCAGAGCTGAGCCTCCATAGCCGTGGATATAGGGAGTGTTTCCTGGGGTGTGCGGAAAGCCGCAATATCCTGCGGTGTGAGAGTGGCCGCGAAAACGCGCAACTTCTTGCGATCGAGTTTTCCAGATGCTGTCAGACTGAATTTCGTCGACAGAGGGATGAATACCGTCGGGACCATGTACACTGGCAATGTCTGGGCCATCTCGGACTCGATGCGCATCGTCAATTTTTGCCAGCGTGAAACATCATCCTGTGCAGCGAGAGAAACCTCATCGACGTTGTTCGTTTCCCGGGGTTCTTCTGGGGCTAGGAACACAGCAAGTGCATCCGAAGTTGCTCCCTGGAGCCGGACGACGTCGACGCAGAAGGCTAGGTCTGATAATACCAAGGGTTGCAGGTGATCTTCAACCTCCTCAAGCTCCACGCGCTGGCCTCGAATTTTCACCTGAGTGTCAATACGGGCAATGAATTTGAATGTTCCATCAGAGTTGTACTGGGCAAGATCACCACTCTTGTAGAATCGAGATGTGCTGTTCTGTCGGAATGATGGCGGGTCGACGAAGGCCTGCGCAGTTGCGGCAGGGTTGTTCAAATACCCAGCAGCGACCATAGGACCCTCTTGGAGAAGTTCACCAGGAGTTCCAATGGGAACCAGTTTGTTATAGTCATTGGGATCAACAACCCAGTTCATTCCTCCTTGGGAAACGTGGATTGTGCTCGCAACGTCCCCGGCTGTGAATTCGGAGAAACCGCACATACCCGCCTCCGTTGGGCCATATCCAGCGATGACCCGCTTGTCTGCGATCCAAAGATCGAGGAGATTTTGGGAAATGGCTTCACCACCCAAGTAGAGGGTGTCAAGATTGGGGACCTCGCTTGGCGTGAGAAGCTTGGCTACGGTAGGTGTGGCGTAGAGGTATTGGATACGCATCTCGCGCATGACGCCGGCAAGGTCATTCATGCGCTGCTCCTCTGTTGGCACACACACAATGCAGCCGCCAATAAGAGCTGTCATGATCTCATAGATGGAGTGATCAAAGTTAAATGACGAGAACTGCAGGATTCGGGTTCGCTCAGGGATCTTCATGCCGGCTGAGTGAGCGACGATGGCCGATGCCAAGTCCGTGTGTCGCATAACAATTCCCTTAGGTGTTCCCGTGGATCCGGAGGTAAAGATCACAACAGCGGTCGATTGTGGATCCACTACTGGGAGTTGTTCTTCCTGTTCCGGAAGACTGTCGAGTAGATCCTGGTTGATGGGTATAACCTTCCCGACGCTTCCTGACATCTTGCTAACCCAATTAGGCGAAGACAGGATGCACTTTGCATCAACTTGAGTAAAGATTTTCTCAAGGCGCGTGATAGGTTGCGAGGGCTCTGTGCCAATGTATGCAGCGCCAGCCTTTAGCACTGCAAGTTGGGTGATGGGAACAAATTTGGAACGATCGAAAGTCAAGGGCACGCAGCTACCGCGCCCGATATGGAACTTGCTCCGCAAGTGCTGAGCCAATTTGGTTGATGCTGTGTCAACCTCTCCATATGTCAAATCTCCATCCCAAGCTTGCACAGCCAGCTCGTTCCAGCGCTGGCGACATGTCTGCTGTACCATTTCATGGATGGTAGTATCTGCGGCAGCAGGAATAGGTGGGTTCCATTGGGAAATTTCAATGCGATCCTCCGGGGAGCACAGGTCCAAATCATTGATTGTGCATTCCTGTGACTGGGATAGCTGAAGTAGGACGTGGGAAAACTGGTGTACGATGCGGTCCACCTGACGAGCATCCAAAACGTTTTGGTCAAACCGGGCAGATACCTGGATCGTGGTAGGTGTGGTGTATAGAATGGTGAGAACGAGAGCGTGTTGTTGTGGAATTGATTGGTTTTCGTTGACGCTGATCACAACAGCGGTTCGAAGCGTTGTATCGAACGGAGCTTCATCTTCGTTGTCGATTTTGTTCTGAACCAGCTCAAACAGGGTTGATGACTTCATTCCCGCGTCCCAGGTCACGCGAAGCGCTCTTGCCGAGCTGCTCGCCTCGCTGGAGACGCCAAAAATGACATCCGTTGTCAAAGCGGAGTATCTTCCAAGAAGCACTGCCCAGGCACAAAGCAATGAGGCCTTCGCATTTGCCCGAGTAGACTGTGAGATATCTACCGACTGGACTACACTATGACTGCTAGCCCACGGTTGATAGACCGACGTGGGCAGGACAGGGAAGATCTCGAGCTGTTGCTGAACTCTTTTCGGCGAATCGTTGTCGGATGACTGGGAGGATTCCACCTCGCTTTCGCTGATGCTTGCAGAACTCGACCCGGTGGTAGATTCCACGGTTGTGACTTCCACAGCAGCAGCTTTCATGCTGTCCAGAGACATTTCATTGGCAATAATTGAGGCCATAGCGAACCTGGTACACAGAAACTTATGTAAGTACACAGACTTGATCAAAAAGAACTATAATACAGTATAGTTTGTACAAAAGGCAGAAAGTTACTCTTGAACTTCACTTAGCAGGAATCTATACTAAGATAATGGCCCCCATACAGCTATCTCATTCTACTCATTGTCACTATCACCAGAGCCCACTCGTCGCATTGTAGAAACACTAAGCAGTGGTACCACCATCGACACCACCGAAGGCTAGGTTCAACTCTCACCCCGCATCCAATACAGTGGATGTTCAGCCAACAAGCCTATCAACGGGTGATCGAAGGCCACATCCGTCGCTGGCCTTGGGGGCGATTTCGTGTCATTCGGCAGATGGCAGTGTGCCAGTGTAGCCATACTTCCAGCGAGCTAGTCCGCTCACGCATCCTGAAGGCGTAAATAATTCAAATAATTCGGTTCAATAGGAAATTTTTAGCGACGCCACCAGAAGAGCTTACTATTATGCACTCTTTGTATCGTAATACGCTCCTGCAGCCCTAGGATTATGGCCCCCACAGCCACATTTGAATTGCATCTCATCTTGATCCACCAACGTCGAATCTCCGTTGCGCCCTGCCTAGTGTCCACCTGAATGTCACATAAGCCAAGGCAGACTTATCTTTCACAGCCAACCATCCTGGCCATCTGTGGGTGCCAAGGGGCCAATAATCAAAACGTCTAGATTAACCATGCAGGCATCAGGGGGCTAGCCAATACTAAGGTGCATTGTTTTTTAGTGGAACGCGATAACCCGGCATCCGACTGGTGATAGGTGGGAGGTATCTGACTGTACTTTAGAGCTGCATACATCTGTATGTGTCAGTATTGGGGGAATTTTCCAAACCCCAATACTACCTCCCGCTACCGAGCAGTTTTATAGAGCCTGGATGGCTGCAACTCACGCCATTCTTCAGTCATTTTTCATCACAAGTTCAATATGGATGATCTTACAATGCCATATGCCAAGGCCGGCCCTACATTCCCGACTCGGCGAGATCGCATGGCTGCTGCCCTGCGTATGCTGATGGCCCATGACGATCTTGACCCGGAACTATTGCGGCCGGGCTCACAGTGGGTGGCCGCTGCGGATATGATGACGCCGAAACAAATCCTACCTCAAAATACAACAGAACAAGCACCGGTAACAGACTTGCACCCGGCAATATTGCCCGTTGATCCTGCATTATGTGCAGCATCCCCATATCCCGCGGACAGCGCGGACGGCCAGTGGCAAAACTGGCTAGGCGATATTACAACGGCTTCTTCGTCTTCAACCACATCAAGTACCTTACCAAGCTCATCCGGGGGTGATTTTATGCTAAGTCAGTCGACCCGCTCTAAGATGTTTTCAGCTCTAACCGAATGTTTAGATTTAGGATGGTCTCTCAACGAGTGGGACGTAATGCTCAACTCTTCGGAGTTCGACAGCACCAGCACTGCAAGTACCCTACCAGATCCCGTTGTCGGGACACCACAGATAAGCCCAGGGCCTCTTCCATCAAATCCAGGGGATGTCGCAATGCAACCGCCACCAAGCTTTCCATCAGCCGAGAGGCGACAGCCGGAAGAGAGCACGGGCCAGCGATCGACAAAACGTCAACGCGCACACTACGTGATCGAAAAACGGTATCGGGCAGGGCTCCATGAGCGTTTTGAGGCACTACGGGACTGCGTGGAGACTTGGAAACAAGACCAGCAACAACAAAAATCATCTGCATCTCCATCTCCAAGTGACGCGGATGGAACTGATGAGGATCATAACCGAAACGTACGCCTGAACAAGGCTGAAGTCCTGCAACAAGCGGTGGCATATATTAAGCTCTTACAAGAGGAGAATGAGGTCGTTATGGAACATATGAAGATGCTCATACGGCGGTTTCGTGCAACAAAGCAGGCTTTACAGCATGGCCAATAGAAGGCAAACTCCTTCGAAAATAATTATGAATATAATTCTCCACCGTCTTTCTTTCTGTGGCTTGAACTGTAGATTAGAATATGAATACGGTAATACACAGCTAGAATTACTAGCCTTGATTACTCGTATGCATCCAGGTGGATCCAAATGTCCACCTGAACACCGTGTGGACCTCTGCCGAGTACTCCGTACCTAATTCAATTCCCGATGCTTATACATTATTTGTACCAGTACCTTTCTAGGTAAAGCGCCACCAAGCAGGCCAATTGGAATAAAGAAAACTTTAGGCGCGTAAATATCAAGCCAACCTTGGAAGATACCATGCGACGGTGGGGGCCACGGAGTGTAAGATATGATATTCGTTTTTATTTCAGCTCGATTCAGCAATACATCACAATATAGTTCAGCACCTTAGCTATAACTCTCATTAGCCTAATATGTAGCGAGTTTCCAACGTTGTAATCTCTCGTTAGGGTTTAATGGGGCTGACTCAGATCAGTTGGATCCACCGGGGTGGCACGATCAGTAACGAAATCCCTAGAGGCCTCAAACATCCATTACTATGGCCATTTTTGGGCGGCTCCATCGCGAATAAATATGGTCATCTGGGAGATATTCGACGGTCCATTGGTGTAATAGATTTAATTTTCCTGAATCCACCAAATAACATATCTCCACTCTGCTGCAGCTCGAGAGGGGTACCCTTACGCTTAGACCTGCGAACATATTGCAAAATTCCAAGGTTCTCTAATGTCTTACCCATTCAATACCTATGTGCCTGGAAGCGGCTCAAAATGGCCAGAAGGCTCCAAGGTTCTCTCGCACATAAAGTCAGGTCAGGATCCTAGAGGTTCGAATGAAGATCTGCGGGGGCCTCTTTGTGGGTTTCCCCACCTATATGGTAAACAAATTGTAGCTTCATAGGTATAATTACCTTGGGAGTACTGGACCTCAGAGCAGCCTCTTCACAGTCCTAGTTAGATAACTAGCTATGTCTATTCTTTACATAATTTGATTCAACCCTCAACGTCCACGGGTGCCACTTGTAGAGATGGGGGCGGTTTAGTGGAGTGTACCGAAATAAGCACTTGTTATTTGATTGTTCTGTATACTTTTGAAGCAGGAAATGAGAACCCCGACTGGATTAGAATTCCCACGAAGTACGAGTAGAGCTGGAAATTTGTCACAAATTTGTCACGGAGCTTATTGGCGCTGCTTGGCGATTCTTGGCTGACACTAAAACCCTAAGATGCATGAAAACTGCAAGCCACTCCCAAGTCACTTAAAATAGTCTATTCGTTTCTGATTAGTGGAAATTATAGAGCTTGGCCAAGATAAGCAAATGGGGCTCGGAAAACCTCCGGTGCTTCTATTTAGCTATTTATATATCTCACTGTACGGAGTACTCTCGGTCAGAGGCCGAATCGAAGATCTGGCCCAGAATCCCGTGTTCTGGCAGTGTCAAATCATCATGATTCATCCCTGGCACTTCATGAATTTCCGCTGAAATGGATTGGCCCCTGTCGCTTCCCCACACCCGGTGAAAATACTGGCAGCCTCCCTTGCCCACGTACCCATCCTTCTCTCCGAAGTAAGCCACCATGTGGAGTTTGTTGTTTTTGCCCACCTTGCTGGCTAACTGGGTCGCGAAGGTTTCATAGTCATCACATATCCCCCACGATACACCCGAACCCGTCTTGAGGCCAAGTTTGGCCTCGTCAGCGACCCCAGAGGTGTCCTCTTCGAAAAACATCTTGACAAAGTAATCACGCGTGGGTTGTTTGGCTGCCGAGGAGAGCCCGCACGTCTCTAACAAGGTTTGCTCGTCGGCAGTAACCGCGCTGTCGGATTGTGGATTTTTCTTGTTTTTCTTCTTTCCTTGGTCGGTTGGGGCTGACGAGGGCATGAGCCTATTCACCAGGAAGGAAGTCATTTTGTTCCACCCGGTAACAAGCCCCGCAGGCATAGCGCTCGCGATGGTCAGCATCTTTGCGCCCGATTTAGACGGATGAACCCAAGGTGAAATAAGATGGATCGTAGGCTCCGGAGTCAAAATCTCCGGCAAATGGTAGACCGTATTGAACAGATAAATGACTCCACTGCTGTGCGCCGCGAGAGTAACCCTGTCAACTTTGAGATGCCTTAGGAGAATGGGCACCGTCTCAAGCCACACAGGAATTCGTTGATCCAGGGCCACGGCCGTCGACCCGCCGAACCCTGGCCGATCGATGATCACCACGCGGACTTTTTTCTGCTGGCACAGATGGTCGATCCAGAGCCCGTTCCAACGCCCGCCATACAATCCACCCGCAAAGAGTATAGTCGGGGAGTCGGAATCCTGACAGCCAACAGTGGCGTAGGTGACCCTTAAGGGCTTCTGGGTAGTCTTACTATCAAATTTGAGACTGTGATGGAACCGACTAGCGGCGGCGAAGGAGCAAACGTCTTCCGCAGCTGTAGCGTTATCTGACATTCTGTGAGAAGGATTCAATTTTACCAGATTGCGAGGCAAAGTCTTCCTGATGGCCGTGTACGGACCTTTTGCCTTTTGATGATAGGGCCCCCATTCTGGTCTGGAGGCCGTAAGCGCAGTCGTGCCACACTGACGTGCCACCAGCTAGGGGAGTAGCAACACCAACTACCTTGCCAATCATGGGGATACTAATGAAAATGACTTGCTTTTTTTGGGAGTCAATCCAGTTCGTTCTTCGAAAATACTGAGATACCCCCACCCGGCAAATAATTTCACACGCTGCAATACGCGCCAACATGCACGCGGAGGTAGAGCGAGAACTTACCTATTTGCTGCTCATCGAATTATTGGCGTAGGTTGAAAAAAAATATAATAATAAATAAAACTCGAATATGAGCCCCTGCTGATGTCCTTACTAGATACCAGTTTGCGTCGCCCGTCAAATGGATTGAGACGCAAGATGTGCTGCTCAAAGAGCTGCACATCCAGAACTTGCTGGAGGTTGGACCGGCCAGCACATTAGTGAACATGCTCAAGCGCACCCTGCAGCATGATAACTATATCATACACGATAGCGCGCTCGGT